GAAGGTCCTGCTTGTGCAGCTGAGGATGAACCGGAAGCACCTGCTCTCCGTCTACGAGTCGGGGGACGATGGTGCTGTGTCGGTGAACGTCTCTGTCAACGTCGTGGAAATGTCTGCCCTCGTGCATCCTCGAGAAGTAGAAACGGTTTCTCGTTACTGTTGAACCACTCATAATAATCCTCAGCATACATCAAGAGGTCATCAAAAATGGGCTCTCTACGGGGAAGACACCGATATCGATCCTCCCACAACACGACCCACCCATGATGCCTCACCAGCCAATCTGTATCTGTATTGCCGCGTCTATCTAAGCTATGCAACTCGTCCATATTGCGAGGTGCTTCCAGAATTGGTTGAAAACAACCAAACTGCCGGAGCACGCAATTAGTGGAGTGCCACTCGACGGTCGCATAACAGATCAGAGAGATCATCACCATCCAAACATCTAATGGACCCCTCAACTCAGGTGGGATCACCGCCCTCATATCATCAGTAGAATATGAAACACATTCAAACTAAAACAAATAATATATAATTTTTATCAAAATAATAATCTAATTATATAACTATAATCTAAAATCTATTTTTAAATATTAAAATTCATACCTGTGTGCCAGCCTTCTGATCGATTAACACCCTAATTTTTTCTAAATCATCAGGTAGCTCCTGATGATTTTTCCTATCAGTAGACCACCTATTCAAGGACAAAAATTTGTTATACGCTGTATAAAATTATTAATATACAAAATCAGTTTTATAATTACCTCAGAAGTAGTGGAAATACGAATGGGTTCTTCACAACGGGACATAAAAAGGGAAATCGATATCATGCCAAAGACTGCAGCAGCAGGAGACATCTGTCGATAGCATTACGCCTGTAGTCAGTGGATCCACACATCTCCCTGTAGATCAAAGCTAAAACTGCCGAGCCCCAACTGAATGATCCGACGAGACGAAAGTCGCTAAGATGTCGCAACCACATGCAGTGAACTAGGTTGCGCGATTTGTCCGGCATCAACAACCCTCCTATCAGCTGCAGTATGCATGCCCGTGCATACATCTTAACCTCATCCTCAGAGGCGTATGCGCTCAACTTCCGAAAATTGGCATTTAACCAATTTAACGGTATCCTACCTCCGATAAAATTTTTCGGGACACGTCCTAGACTATCCCGACACAAAGTAGTCCAAGAACCGGAAGCTATCCCCGATATCACATCTCCATCCACCGGAAGCCCCAGGTGCATAGAAACATCCTCAAGCATGATCGTGCACTCTCAACACGGAAGATGGAATGTGTGGGTCTCCGGCCTCCACCGCTCTACTAAGGCAGAAATCAGGTCTGGCTCTATCTTACAGTGACCCTGATATCTACCTATATAATTGAATCCAGCCTCTACTAAACACGGCAAGACACGGCTGGGTATTACTAACTTAAGATTCCTAATAAAAGGATCTAATACACGGTCCTTCTCCTAAAAATAAATAATTACAAAAATTAATTCTTAATCTAATAATCATGCATTAAATGAATCAACTAATTATTACTAATAATTTAAATTAAATTAAAACGTTAAAATGTTACCGTATCAGCAAAGTGTCGAGATATTTAATTCTTAATCTAATAATCATGCATTAAATAACTAAATATTACTAATAATTTAAAAAAATTAAAACGTTAAAATGTTACCGTATCAGCAAGTGTAGAGATATATGATTCCATCCGAGCTAAGTAGACTGCCTTCCATTATATATCTGCAAAAGAATTATATTAGTAAAATATTAAATAAAGTAAAAACATAATAGTAAAAATATTATAAAATATACCTTAAATAGAGAGTATTTGAGAGAAATTTAGAGAATTTGAGAGAATTTGGTGTGATAAAAGTGATTGAGGATGGGGGTATTTATAGGGGATGGGTGGGTAATTAGGGGTATAGCGCGCCCCGTGCACCGCGCTATACCCCACGTGTCAGATATCTAGGTATAGCGCGCTACAGGGGACGCGCTATACCCACGTGTATGCCAGATCACCGTATAGCGCGGTGCAGGGGGCGTGCTTTACTGCTAAGGGTTTTAGATCGAGAAATATAATCTGACCGGTGTTAGATCGGAAAATATAATGTTCACTGGTGATATATCGGGAAAATCGCCCATTTTTTCATGTTGTGTTTATATTATTACCAAACAGTGATAGATGTGGAGATAGTTGGGATATTTACTTGAAAATTTTAAAATTTGATATATTTTAGATATTTTTATATTTTTTTATTGGAGATTTATTTTCATTCTTACTTACATATTTAAATATTATTCTATAACTATTTACTAAAAAAATTAACCATTTAAGATAATACAATGATCATATAAAAAAATATTAAAAATTTAATCTAAAGATTTTAATAAAAATAGATACAAATAGAAATTTGATTATATTGACAAACAAATCACAAAATATAATCAAATTACTAAAGAGACCATAAAAACTGTAAATCAGAATTGAATGTCATGAAAAAACTATCATCGAATACAAATTGTGTATTTAAATCCAAACTGTTGGTTCAATGCAAGAAATATCAACAGAATAATAAATAAGTAATATTTTAATAAATTAAAATGACCAACGAATGATAAAAAAGACCAAAAAATATTATAAAACAAAAGAATTGTATTATAGAAACAAAGTTCTAACAATAACAGAAGAAAAATAAAGATAGTAACATAAAAAGTAAAGAATAAATACATAATGTTAGAAACGAAAAATAGTATAAAGAGTTGACTCTAATTTTGAGAGATTTATATATATTTAAATGTACAAGATGACATATGTTTCTGTTTTTTTCTGGGTGCACGTTAGGAAGTAATAGGTCCTAAGAATTTCATTTCTGCTCATAGTTTTCTTTGCGATTATGTTTTTCTCTTGTTGCCTTGTTCTTGTTTCTAAGTTTTATGGGATTTCATGGTTGATTCAGTTGTTGTGGAATTTTATGGGTCTGGAGATCTCGATTTGGCAGAGTTTCCCCTTTTGCAGAATAGGGAGGCTTCATCGGTTTAGGTTGTTGTGGTTGTGGACGATGAGCATGATCTAGTTCTGATTTTTTTGGACGGTGTTTCGTCTACCTCAGGTAAGGATTGGAAAACCTTGTTTTTGAATCAATCTTTGAATTATTTCCCCTCTGTTGAACATGAAGGGAATGTTTTGGTTAAGCCGCCTAGGGAGGTCTTAGTTGATGGAGCAAAGCAATTGATAATGCTTTTTTGGGTAAGTCTCGACCCATAGGTATTTTTCCAGAAAGATAAAATAACTTTAGTGACCGAAAATATCTTATAATATATGATTTTAACCAACTTTTTTTTAGATTTGTGAAAATGACCGACATATTCGCAACACGAACTCCAATTTCGCAACACATGTTCCAAAATCGCAACGCGAATATGTAAATCGTAACGATAATATGTAAATCGCAACGCGAATATATAAATCGCAACACGAATTTGTAAATCGCAACACAGAAGTCAAATTCGCAACACGGAATTTCAAATTCGCAACGCGAATTTATTTTTCATAACACAAGTTTTCTTTTCTGATTTCGCAACGGTAATTACCGATATAGGTAAACAGTACAATCACAATGCGCTTTTTAAATTCGCAACGCTAATTACCGATATAGGTAAACAGTATTATCGCAATGCGATTTTCAAATTCGTAATGCTAATTACCGATATAGTTAAACAGTACTATCGCAATATAAACAACACTATCACAATGCGATTTTCAAATTCGCAACGCTAATTACCGATATAGGTAAACACAACTATCGCAACGCGAATTTCCGAAACTGAGTTGCGAATTTATGAAATCCTAGCCATGGAGCTAAGAAGCTTGGGAAGGCTGGACAGAGTCGGTGGTTGGTCAGGAGGCCTGTGGTTAGGGGAGTTGTAATGAATCCAGTTGATCATCCTCATGGTGGTGGTGAGGGACGGAGTAAAAGTAGCGGAAGTTATGGGCAGACTTCACGGACGCCTTGTGGTAAGCCTTGTATATGTGGGTTTAAGACTGCTAAAAGCAGACGCAGAAACTAGTTCTCGGTCGATTTGGCATTTTGTTTCTCTATATATTTTCAACAAACCGATGTTCACGTTTTTTGCTGAATTTTGTTTGTTAGTTAAAAAACTTGTATGCCGTTTAAGCTTTATGGACGTTCATCTTTCTTCTTCAACGGGCTATAAAATAAGCATGTTAATTTCAGGGAAACATATTTTCATTTAATTGATGTCTCAGCTGATCACATAGTTTGGTAAATTTTTTATATACATCTTTAACCTTGTATGCACAATCTGAACCATTTGTAAGAGTGCGTTTTTTTATGTTGATTTGTTCTTTTCCATCTTGTCTTTGATTGATATCTCAGTGTCTTCTCAACGTTGCACAATCGCAACACGAATTTGTAATTCGCAACTCAGTTTCGGAAATTCGCGTTGCGATAGTTGTGTTTACCTGTATCGGTAATTAGCGTTGCGAATTTAAAAATCACATTGCGATAGTACTGTTTACCTATATCGGTAATTACCGTTGCGAAATCAAAATTCTTGTTGCGATTTAGAAAATCTTGTTGCGAAAAGGAAATTTGTGTTATGAAAAATAAATTCGCGTTGTAAATTTGACTTCTGTGTTGCGATTTACATATTTGCGTTGCGATTTGCATATTATCATTGCGATTTTGGAACATGTGTTGCGAAATTGGAGTTCGCGTTGCGAATTTGTTGGTCATTTTCGCAAATCCAAAAAAAGTTGGTTAAAATCGTATATTATAAGGCATTTTCGGTTACTGAAGTTATTTTCTCTTCCAGAAAATTGTAAATAAATTGTGGGGAGGGAAGGTTCTATTGAGATTCGCTTCTTAGCATCAAGTGTGTGTATATTGAATTTTCCTTCTCAACTTGTTCGAAATTGGGTTTGTGGAGTCAGGCCCTTGGCACATTTAGCAGAATGTGATTATTATGCGAAAGTGGGTTCCTGGGATGATTCCATATATGATATCTCTTGCTTCAATTTCGATTTGGGTGAAGCTTTGGAATGTTCCATTGGAGTTGTACTCGCAAGATGGTCTCAGGTATATTGTTAGTGCTCTTGGTAGACCTCTCTATACTGATCATGCTAGTGCTTTAAAGCATCAATTTGAATTTGCAAAAATATGTATTAATATTGATGCTAAGGTTACTCTTCCTAGTTTTGTCATGGTTGAGCTTGATGAGAGTAATAGGGTTGTTGGTGTTGTTGAATTGGTGTGGGCTCCTTCAAGGTATGGCCATTGTAATATTTTTGGTCACTTGGAGAATGACTGTTCAAAGAGGAAGATTAGTACTATGGTGGCAACTTGTCATGTTGTGGATCCTATGACTACTCTTGGTGAGGATGACTCAAGTTGTAATGTTGATAATATGGATGTTGCTGCTAAAGGTAAACAAGTTGCAGAGAGTGTGGAAGGGGTGACTACTTGTCCTGTTGTGGATCTTATGGAAACTCTTGGTGAGGCTAGTTTGAGTTGTAATGTTGACTATGTGGATGATGATGCTTTGAGAGAATTATCCGAGGATGTTACGGTTTGTAATATTCTGGTTTAGAATGAAGGTGTGGGTTGTGTTGTTAGTGGTAGTGGTGGCGTCTTGGATGGGGATGGTGGGCTAGTGCACAGTCCAAATCAGTTTTCTTTGTTGTCTGATGCTCTAGGGGTTGTTGTTTCTCATAGGAAAACTAGAGCTGCAGCGGATGGAGTGTCTGAATTAATGAATTTGTTGAAGTGTTGGTGCTAACAAGACGAGGCAAGGAAAGGGTGGTAAAAAAGAGGTGTTTCTCATTCTTTACGATGATTTTGACTTGAAATATTCAGGGTTGTAATGACCCTGTTAAGTTGAGGAGAGTTTTGGGGTTGGTTAGGAAGTTGAAGGTTGAAATTTTGTATTTACTGGGAACAAGAATAAGGGAGGTCAATGTTGGTGCTATTGTTCAATGACATTTTTATGGTTGGGATTTTATCTCGAATTACTTAGAGGCTTCAAATGGGAGAATATGGATTTTAAGTAGGGATTATTGGAAGATGGAGAAAGTTTGTAACTCTGGTTAGCATATTACTTGTTTGTTGAAGAATGAGATGTTTGTTTTTACTTTTCGGTTATGTATGGTTCTAATGATAGGGATAAGAGGCGTCAATTATAGGGGATATTATTCGTGTTAGGTCTATTGTTGGGGTGCATCCTTGGGTCTTTATGGGAGATTTCAACATTATTCGTTACCTTCGAGAAAGTTCTGATTATGATGGCAGCCAGGGTGTAACTGATGTTATGTTGGATTTTTTTGCTTGTTTGGAGGAGATTGATGTTCTTGATCATTCGTACGTTGGTGCATTTTTCATATGGTTTAATAAAAGAGAGAATGATAATTTGCTTTGAAAGTTGGATAAGATCTAGGTCAATCAAACTTGGTTGCAGAAATTTCCCTTTGCTACAGTGGAGTTTATAGTCCCACATTGTTTGGATCATCGTCCTAGTTATATTCTTATTCAGGCTTTGGTGGGTAGACCTCCTAGGCCCTTCAAGTTTTTTCACTTTTGGCCTAATAATCCAGAGTTTTTTAGGGTGGTGGAGGATTATTGGAAACTGAATGCTGAGCTTAAAAGACTTAAGGTGCCTCTTAAAGCTTTGAATCGTGAGAATTATAGTGAGTTGTCAAAGCGGATTGATGGTGTTAGGATGGAGCTTGAGGAAGTTCAGAAGTTAGTGTTATCTTTCCCCTTTGTGGAGAATGTTGCTAAGGAGAAAAATTTATGTTTTGTTTTGGATGACTTGTGTAATGCTAAGGAGAAATTTCTTTGACAGAAATCGAGGGTGCAATTTATTAAAGAAGATGGTCAAAACTCAGGTGCTTTTTTTAGGCAAGTTACTGCTAGACAGAATGTTAATACTATCCAGGTTTTTACGGATTCCCAAGGTAATATGCTTGATAGCTTTAAGCAAAATTCTGGGGAGTTGATTAAGCATTTCTCGGATGCTCTTGGGGTGGCTGATGTTAATGTGGGTCATGTTTCTGATGATTTGCTCAAGGAGATTTTAGATATGGAGCTTTTAGGTGAAATGCGAGATAGTTTGATTGCTCATGTATCTTCAAATGAGATAAAAGGATATGTTCTTTGCTATGAATGGGAACAAGGCCCCGACCCTGATGGTTACCCATCAAGTTTTTTTCAAGCTTCGTGGCGGATTGTTGGCGAGGATTTTGTTAGTGCGGTGAAATATTTTTTTGAGTTTTCATATATGATCCCCAATTTTAATTCCACAATTCTTTTTTTGGTTTTGAAAGTTGCTGCTCTAGTATCTACTTTTTATTTCAGTCCCATATCATGTTGTTCCATAGTATATAAGTGTGTTATAAAGATTCTTTCTAATAGGTTGAATGTGTGGCTTCCTAGTTTGATTCTGCCGAATTAAAGTACTTTCCTTATTGGGAGCGATTTGGTAGAGAACGTGCTACTTGCTCAAGAGTTGGTGAGTGGTTATGGTCGAAAGCATCTTTCGCCTAGTTGTGTTTTGAAGGTGGATCCTAGGAAGACTTTTGACTCGATTGATTCGAAATTTATTTTCTAATTGATTCAGGTTATGGGGTTTTCTCGTCGGTTCAATAGTTGGGTCTGGGCTTGCATAGTTCATTCTAAATTTTTCATTGACCTGAATGGTGGTCTTGTTGGGTTCTTCTCGGGGGCCAAGGATGTAAGACAAGGAGACCGGTTGTCTCCTTATATCTTTTTCCTTGTCATGAATGTACTATTGAGGATTTTAAATCTGACGGATGAATATGGCCTGTTGGAGTTTCATCCGAGGTGCAAAAGAATTGGTCTTACCCATCTCTGTTCTGTGGATGATCTTTTAGTTTTTACTAAAGGGCATGCTGAGGTAGTGTTAGTTGTTAAGAGTATTATGAATGTGTTTTACACAATGTCAGAGCTTCAAATGAATATTTCAAAGAGTGAATTATTTTGCGCTGGTGTGGGGGTTTCGGATGTACAGAGGTTGATTGAGCTCACTGGTTTCTGGATTGGGGCTCTTTCGTTTCGTTATATGGAGGTCCCCTTATTTCACGGAATCTTTATTGTATTGATTGTGAGGGTTTGGTGGGTAAAATCGTTAGAAAGATTCGAAGTTGACCTTCAAAGTGTTTATCTTTTGCGAGGAGTTGCAGCTTATCCAAGCAGTGGTGTTTAGTGTTTAAAATTTTTGGAGTAGAATTTTTCGGTTGCCTTCCAAGGTTATTATGAGAATTGAACAGTTGTATAACGTCTTTCTTTGGAAGGGTTCTGATAGTTTGACGAGGGGCGCTCAGGCTAGTTGGGAACGCGTTTGTTCCCCCAAGTGTGAAGGGGGTCTTGGAATCAAATGTATTCTTGGATAGAATAGAGCTTGTATGATGAAATGTTTGTGATTTTTGTTTTCCTAATCCGGTTCTCTTTGGGTAGCTTGGGCAAAGAATATGTTTTGAAGGGGTGTTTGATATGGAATATCTCTGTAGATGATTTTGCCCTTATAGGTAGCTTGGATGGGGAATATCAAGCGAGGAGGGTCTAGGAAGTGGTTCGATGTAAGAGGGCCAAGGTGTTTTGGTTCAAAGTCATCTGGGGGGCACTTTATATCCCTAGACTCTCGTTCATCTCCTGGTTTGTTCTTATTGATCGATTACCAACTAAGATGCGTATTCTAAACTAGAGAGAGTGTTGATCGTGTTTGTGTTCTTTGTAACATTGCTGTAGAGGATAGAGACCATATTTTTGCTGGTTGTTGGTTTTTTAGTCAAGTTTAATCTAAAATTTTATGTTTGTCTTATCGGTTCGAATACAGTTTGCTGGTTGGATATGGTAGGATTGGTTTGTGCTCAGGGTTGTAGTAAGTCTTTGAAGGCTACTATTTTTTGAACAGTTTGGTGTTGTTATCTCTATTTTGTTTGACAGGAGATAAACAATAGGTTGCCTGGGCATGTTACTCGGGGTGTGAATGGTATTGCTTTGCAAGTGAAGTTTGTTGTGTGTTCGAGGTTGAAAGGGAGGGTAAGAGTTGCTTCATCCTCCTCTAGGCTGGCGGTAAATTGGGATCTTTTATAATGAATTTGTTTATTCTTTATAGGTTGTTTATAGTCACTGTATGATTTGTTTTGTTTTGTTGTTTTGGAGGCTCTTAGTTTGTTATTAGAGGTTATTTTTGGATGAATAAAATTTTAACATTTATAAAAAATGTATTTAAATTAAATCGTATAATATTCCTTTAACAAACTCAAAATCTGATTCTAGTCATATGGGAGAAGAATGGAAGAAGAGAATTATTTCTAATAAATTTAAATTTTATGATAAAAATGACAGAATAATTATAAATAATTTGATCAAGTAATCAAATTTATTTACTCTTAAATTATATAATTTGAAAACAATAGTAATACTTTCTAATAAGAAAAAAACAATATCGATACTAATTAAATTAAGACTTAAATGGTGATGATTATAATGCGTGATGTACATGGCTGGCACGTGGGTCTGGAGAAATGCCCCCACCGCGAGGAAAACGAAAGAAACAGACAAGAAAACGAGTAGTGTAAATTTGGTTGTAAAGTCAACGCCGATCTGGAGGACTAATGCATTATTACCATGATCTGTCGGCTGCACTTCCTAATTCTCCTCTTCAATCTTACTTTTACATTATCAACTTTTCCCAACGTAAATTTCAACTCAACAAACACCATACCTCCATCACAGTCTCTCCGGCGGAAATCAGCCTCAAACTGCTTCGAAAACTATCAGCACACGGTGCAGTTCTTAGGCGGCGGCGGCGGCAAGGAGGAGGATAAGCTGATAAACAACGAAGGTGGCAATAAGGTAATGGTGGTGGTTGGTTCGAGTCTGGAAGCTAGAGGAGCGCTTGACTGGGCAATGGGCATTGTCTTACGCCATTCGAGATTATCAAGATTCCATTCTTCTTCTTCATGTAACCAATCCCAGAAAAACAGGTTCACGTTGCCATAAATTAATCGCTTCGAATAAATAAATAAATAAATATTTTATTTTATTTTTCAGTATATTGTATTGAATGATATAACAAAAAGTAAATCGAATTTAAATAAATTAATATTTGATATTACTAAATTATTTGTTTTTAAGTTTATTCATGTTTGTTGATATTATGCAGAGTCGTCTAATAGGAAGCGTAATGCAAGGATAAATGAATTGCTTCACACCATGAAAAATATTTGTCAAACGAAGATGCCAGGGGTACGTACTTCAATTTCACTTCTATTTTAAGGGTACAATAGTAAAAGACAAAAGCATACATAAATATATAAATAATCGCCGACTATTCATCGTTTTAAATTCGTCCTTTTTCGTGGACTATTGTTTAGGCTGGAAGTTGCATGATGATTGGGATATAATAGTCATTTGAGATTTTGGGATTAGATTTTATATATCACAGTCTGCAGGTTAATGTTCAATTCAGAATATCGTTTATTTTTTAACGGAAAAGATGAGTTTGAAACATAATGAATAGTCAAGTGATTATTTCGTAACTTTTAATAGTCACATAATTATTTTATAACTTGTAATATTCAAGTGAATTAATATACTTTATTTGTGTATAGGTTGAAGTTGAGGTAGCCAAAGTGGAGGGAAAGGAGAAGGGTCCGGCAATTGTGGAGGCAGCAAAGCAACGGAAAGTATCAGTTTTGGTGTTGGGGCAAAGGAAGAGATCGCTGATATGGCGTTTAATACGGAGGAGATGGGGAGTAAAGAGAGGCGGCAGCAACGGAGTCGTGGATTACTGCATCGAAAACGATTCTTCGTGGTGCATGACGGTGGCCGTGAGGAGGAAGAGCAACCAACTTGGTGGCTACTTGATTACCCCCAAGCTTCACAAGAACTTCAGGCTTTTGGCTTGAATTAATCCAAACGTTAAAATATGTCGCAAGTCATTTGGTTTTGATAAT